ACTCCAACGCTAACTGTAGTTGGTAGTTATAAAGGGTATGTCCATGTGTGACATGATGAAATAGACAGAAACTATGTAGTCGAACTTTATTCGTTCCTTCTGCCTTAATAGAAGAAGCGATATCTCTGGGCCCCTCGATGATTTGGTGCTAACATCTAAAGTGCTTGGTCGAGCCCTAAATGGAATTGATGTGTTCAATTTAGTAGTCAGATGCAGTCATCACAGATCTATATAGAGAAACATAATCTTGAATTCTTGAGATTGACCATTATCCATGTCTCGAATTCATATAGATATCTAGAATGAAGGGATAGTTGATCACTTATCTATAGACTAAACCTTGATTAGATCAAGAGTTCGGTAGCTGTATTGGATGGATAAATTTCTGTTGATTATTAGAGAAATATTGGTCCATGTAAAGTTGATGACTTGTCCAAGTGGGATACTATTGGAATAGTATCCAAGGTCATTAACTGTCGATCATATTTCTAATAATAACATTAGAGATGAGCATCGGAACCGGGTACCCGTTTTTGGAACCGAAACCACCTCGGAACTGCCGGTTTTGCAACTGGAACCGCCTTAAGTGGTTCTGATTCCAGTTCCTAAAGTTATGGAACCGCCTTAAGCGGTTCCGGTTCCAGTTCTTGTTTTTTCGGAACCGCTACCTGCTGGGTATCCGCTGGAACCGGTTTATATATATATATATATATATATATATATATATATATATATATATATATATATATATATATATATATATATATATAATTTCATATAAACATGCATGTTACTTGGACTAGTTTAGAATATATTGGTCCGATTTTGTCCGTCTTTGATCCGAATTGACTTGATTTGGATTGAACTGAATTGCGGTTTTATCGACAAAAGTTTACAAAATTAATGTAACCGGGTTACCCACTCCCGGAACTGGAACCTCTGGTTCCGGGACTGGTTCCAAACATTTAAGAACTGCCTAGAGCGATTCCGATTCCGGTTCTAACTTTCTAGGAACCGCCGGTTCCGGTTCCGGTTCTTTCCAAATGAGGCGGGTACCCACCTATGGTCATCCCTAAATAGCATGGTCCTTTTAGGTTGTCCTCAAAACCCAAATTGAGTAGAATAAATAAAGGAGAAATTGGTTTATTAATTTTTATGGTTAATAATTAATTAGAAACTTGTTAGTTCTGTTAGATTGCATCATGGGCTCGGTCCTTAGCCTAGTTTGACTGCCAGTATTGGGCATGTCCAACCGTGCATATTTTTGTACTAGGGTTTAGTATATAAGCTGCATGCATGCAATCTTAGAGGTAGCGCTTTTCATTGTTTATTTTATTTCATAGTTTTGTAAACCCTAGCTCGCCTCTACAGAAACTAATTGGAAATATATTTTGGGAGTTAATTAATAGTTTAATTAATTAAAGGGTTGAATGTTCATTAATTGATAGTTGGTTAATCAGGAATGTTCCAGAACGCTTATGGAATTAGGTTTGGATGAAATTCACTCCATCCCACATGGGAAAGGAGTGAAATTTTGTGTTTATGCCTCCATCCCACATGGGAAGGAGTACAAAACCCTAGGAGGCATCTAAGACTATAAATAGGGCCTTAGGGATTTCGTTCCTCCTTGCACCTTGGCTTGAAGTTTTGCCAACCCTTCTTCCTCTCCCTCTTATGGATGATTTCTAACCCCTTTGGGTTTGTGAAATTAACCCTTCTCTTAGTTATTTTTATTCCACTCTTTAGTGTCATTGGGTGTGATACCATCAGAAGGATTCTGGTTTGGGTCCTTTCATCGAAGCAACTTCATGGAGGTTCAAGATGTCAAGCATGGAGATCAAGGGCAACATAAGAGGTATGTTTTCTTATTTGTTTTATGTTTTCTAGGGTAGATGTAATTGTTGGATTAGTGTCTAAGTCCATAACTATTTTGGTATGTACTTGACCCGATGGTGCATGTTCCTTTTGGGTTGCCTTCACCAAAGCAACTTGATTGGAGAAATAAATAAAGAGAGAGAGGTTATTATGATTTATTAATATGTTATAAGAATAATATATTAAAGGAGAAATCATATTTGTTTAATTAATATTGGTCAATAATTAATTAGGAATTAATTTTGTGATCAAGTGTAACTAATTAAACTAGAGGGGCTGATTTGTAATTATGTGATAGTTACAAAATAAGGTAAGGATTATCTTAAATATAGGGTGAACGAATTAAAGGAGATAATGCCTTAGAATTCGACTAGGATAATTGGTTACTTGGTGGGCAAGCAACTAGATAAAGATAAGGACTAAAACCCTAATCTTTACACCTATATAAACCCCCTAAGGCTCATGAATTCGTCTAAGCCTTCCCAAGAAGTCCTAAGGACGAATTCCTACCTCTCTCATCTCTCTTTATACCTTCTCCATTTGCTCTTGGTGTTTGTAAGCCATTAGAGGAGTGACACTTGTGACTCTAAGCATTCCAAAGTCAATTCAAGGAGGAATTGGGATTGTTATTGCTACATAACAATCAAGGTAACATCTTAAACCTAATTATATGTTAATATCGATTTCCATATGCTAGAATTAGGGTTTATAGTCTTGGATTCAAAGCATGTACAATAGAGAAACCTAGATCCAAGCATTAGGGTTTGTATGAGCACATAGGATGTCTTATGACCAAAACCCATTAGTAATTAGCATGAAGCCATAGATCCATAGGTTGCATGTATACTAGGTATATTGTTGTTTCGATTTTTCCGCTGCCTAGTTTAGAGTGTATTTGATGCGTAGAAAACTGAACAAAAACATATTCTTGCAACTGGCATTCATAAAATTGTAGTTTATTTTTCTAATAATATCAATGTTAACTTAAATATTGATTCCTATAATAATAGTTTAGATAAGAACACGCTTGTGGCAAAATCGCGTTGACCACATAAGTAAGAATCACATCATGTGACATCCCTATTTTTACGGCCAAAAAATATCAATTTGTTTATTCTTATTAAATCAGAGTATTCTATTAAAAATATTATGTATGTGGAATTTTTCCTAAAAACATGATAATGATATTATCAAAGCATCTTTGAAGAAATGTGTTGTGTTTATGTTTTTAAAACTCAGGATGTCATAACTGATATAAAACATAAGCCCAAACAGAGACTTATAATGTCTCTTTATACTAACTGTAACGCTCGGTTCCTGGTATATATTTAATTCAAAATTTATTCACTATTGTATAGAAACTCGACGAGTTGGAGGCCCCAAACTCGTCGAGTAGGAATGGAATTGGTCGCGGATGATAAAGTCTACTCAACGAGTTGAGAGCCTCAACAACCTCCAAGTCTCAAAACCCTAGCCACGAAACCCTAGTGCCTCGTGTGAGCTTGTGATTCATTTTTTAGATAAAACTTGTGTATTTGAAGCTTGTGGAAGAAGAAAAAGCTTTATCACTCAAGAAGAAGAGAATAGATCCAAAAACTTCACTCCATTTCAGCATTTTCTGGTAAGCAAATCTCAGACTTGCTTAATGACTTCTTAGATCTCTTCATTGTCACTTTTATTGAGTTTTTGGTCCAAGTAGCATGGTTCTTGGGAAATGGACGTCCCAAGTGGATATACTTCCAATTCCATGACCTTGAAGGGCTTTCATGGCATAAAGGTGCAAAATTTATGGACATTAGAGCCCCATGCAAGGTCTAGGATGTCATTTTGGCCTTTTAAGCCCCAAAAGGCCATGCATGGAGAGATAGGCAGAGACTTTACGTGTTCGAGTGGTGTATAGGGTCTAGATCTCAGTTTGTATGCCTTAGCTTGATGTATGAATGACTTTTGGATCAAGATCTAGGTCTTAAGGAGTTAAGGTTTGAGCTAGAGCCATTAAGGGAGGCTATTAGGGTTTGCGCTAGAGCCATTAAGGGAGGCTATTAATGGTTTTCATGGCTTTTTTTTTTTACCATTCTTCAGATTTATTTAACACCTCAAGTTAGATGTTTACTCAACATAATCATCCATGCTGTAAAAACACCTTCCAACAAAAATGTTAGTTTCACATATTATATCATATAACGAAAGTTGTGGATTTGACAACATAAGATAAGTTCAAGGAACATAAGGCAAACTAACATATGTAGTTGGTGAAGGTAGAAGGTGTATCCACACCTTTATTTGTACTCGATTATAAAACTTAGAAGAATACAATAAGACAAAATACTTCATTCATAAGAAAAACGAAAGCCAAAGCATAAACAATAAACATCAATAAAAGATCACACAAACGCATCATAGTTCTACGAGATTACATGAGATAAATGCATCAAGAAAACATGAATAATAATATTAATAGAAAATAGAGATTTAAATTCTTCACTCTTTGCCATCAGCAGCCCTTAGAGAGCCGATTTGAACGGGTGCTTAAGTTCCAACTACTTTGTAAACACTTACTGCTCTTTTGTCCAAGAAGATCATTATTCCCTAGGCTCTTTCCTATAGAGTGGCAGACGATCCAGGGTTGATGGCTCGATTAGCATCGTTCCTTACATGTGTATTGTGGGATGATAACGGTCTTGAGATTTTTGTCTGACACAGATGGCAGTGGGTTGTCGGGGTCCAGGAGGTGATCTACAAGGACCTTTTTTTGAGAGTTCTTTTGACAATCAGCTTCGACAAGAAGTCGACGCGATGTGCTGATCCATCAGGTTTTACTTTTCGCTTGGGAGGCGTATCCCGCTCTTGTAGCCTGATTGAACTGGGGAGGCGTCTAGAGATTTACACTACTGAGGGGACTCCAAGTCGTCATTTTTATGCTTATCTTGACAGTTGTATTACTGCACCACAATAGGAGTACAACTACATGTAGATCTAGACCCATGCTCGGGGGACTTATGTCTCTAGGACAACCAAGATAGCACATTCTATTCTCCTATCTATCGGTTGATTCACCGATTGGTTGCTTCTACCGCTTGTCACATACAGGATTGTGACAAGGTACCCCAGACAACCTTTTCTATATGTGGTGCATCACTCAGACCGAGGTTTTCCTTCATCTTTATTTTTCTCTTGCTCTCTACTTATCTAGTATGGCTCTAGGGTCTACACATTTGAGCATGATTTGCGGGGGTCATTGGGTTACTAGTTTGGACTTATCTTATGAGTTTGAAACTAGTGGGATGGCTCATATGCCTATCCGAGAGCTGAGTAGTACCGCTCTTGGGAAGATGTGGGTATAGTTCGTGGAGTGGGGAAGCCATGGAGGATTCCGAAGGATGACATCGTGGAGTCGATTCAATAGGTGGAGCCAGAAGACATCCCTAATCTTGCCTTCATAAGGCGTCAGAGGCCTGGGTATGTAGATCCTGGTCAGCCAGAGGTGACTCTATGTGACGTGATGCAGTATCTGATTGCTGCATAGGAGGAGCGTCGTATGATTACAACGTTGGTCTCTACGGTGGTATGACATATGGGGATGGACCATCCACCTTTTCCTAAGGCGGGTCCTTCTGTTCCACCCCCTTCTCAGCCATTGGGCGCCGGTCATGATGGTGTCGGTTTTTCAGGTACTCATCCCAGAGATATTGATGAGGACAAGGATTCAGAGGGCGAGAAGGTTAAGTACGAGAGCAGTGATGAGTAGGTTGAGGTTTTCGGGTTTGATGCTTTGTATTTTTGACACTCACGATGTATTTTGATACACTTTATGTATACCATTTGTATTTTGTATTTATGATTTATGTGTTATCTTTTATCTAACCCAATTCAATCGATGTATTGGTTCAGTCAAGTCTAAACATAGTTGATCAGGCTAAGTTTAGGAGTGACCCAACCTTTACATATTAAACTATACTGGATAATTGTCTTATTTATGATTTGTGTATGTTATTCGAGATTGGATATTATTATTGTTTTTTACTTCTAGACTATGTATGGTTCGTCCAGGTAGGAAAATTCAGTGGGCAAGACCATTTTGGTGTATAGTTGTTCTGAAATCCAACAACCCAAGTCGACAGTTCCAACATATGCACCTGTCTGATACGTAGTCTATCAATAGAGTAGTTAATAGCACTACTTATATTTATAGGTTTGAGGAAAAACCTAATCGGAGTATATACCAAAAGCTATAGTCATAATTCCTAAAGAAATACTCATTCACTATAGTAACTAGCTCTGATACCAATCTATCACACCCTCTGTTACAATTAGCATTTTTGGCTAGGAAATTCTATTTTCATGTAAAAATCAACTCTTCTATACCTTGTAATCTAAGTTGGTGTCATGTACTATACTCATTCAAAATCAACCATTAGAATCAAAACTCCTAAGTGAAGTTCAAAACCTAATTCAATGCATCTCATATACTTTACTATAGGCTTGAAACCCTAATATCCCAGTTTAAACTTAGAATGGACCAGGATCATCTTGTTGGGCCTAATGGGCCAGTAAACTCTCAATTTGGTTATTCTGGGTTAATGAACCCTATTTGGGCCTTAAATAGACACATTCATTAAATAATAGCATTTTGGGCCATAAGACTTCTCATGGGCCTTATTGGGCCTAAAATGTCTCATTTTGTCATCATGGGCCTTAATGGGCCATAAATGGTTTCTTGAACCTTAATGGGTCGTACACTCCCTTTCCTTATCATTATTGGGCCGTAAAATCATATATTGGGCCCGAAATTTCCATATTAGACCCTATAACATTCGAGTATATTCATTAATGGCCGAAATTAATTCAGTTCTCATCCTCCTTAATCCCTTCTCAGTTTTGATAAAAAAAAGTCCATGGATATAACAACTTGACACCTCATGTTTGTCTAGTGGATTCACATGCATTACACAACAATTATTTAGGCATTTCTCATACTCCCATGCACCATCACATCTTACTTCTCTCTTCTCTCCCTCTTCTTCTATTCCCGGCCATAAGAAGTCCTCACCACCATCTTCATTCCACCCACAAATCAAACACCAATTCTCTCAAAAACTCTCAAGAAACTCCATCACTTCCTTGCTCTAAAAATCGTGTGGGTGCTTGTTCTTCAAGGAGTTTCTTCCAAAGCTTCATACACTAGGTAAGTCTTGGTTAAACCCCATTGTTTTGTTTTAAGTCTAGAGCAAGATATTTGTTCTTACAACCTTATTTTTTGTGTATAAGGCTCTAGGACCACCCACATTTTCAAGATCTCCGCTCAAGAAGCTTGCTAAGGTCGAAATCCTTCTCATTCATCATCAAAAACCGAAATCACCAAAGCAAAGTGAGTTCATACCCCTTATTTTCGGTTTTTACTATGTTTTGGGGGAGCATACAAGTTGTTTTGTGTAGATCTATGTGTATATGCATGATTTTGTGTGTTTTTCATGATATAAGTGTGATTATGTGTTAGAAACTTCATAAACTTGAAGATATGTTAAAATATGATGATATTTGTAGAACATAACATTTATTGCAACTTATTATGCAAAGAAAAGGTTTTAAACACTTCAAAGTTGCTTAAAACTAAGAAAAATGCATAAGAGGGCCAAAAATGACAAAATAATAAAAAATGAGGTTATTATATGTAACTCACAGTTTTAAGGGACCAAAAATGATTTATTTTTGATAAATATGAATATTTATGGTATTTATGATTTTAAAAGGGCTAAAAGTGTAAATTTTCACAAATGGGCCTCATTTTGGGATTACACGACTTTTGGGCCAAATTTGTAAAACTTTGGGCTTTTGTGGGCTTAAGTGTCACTTTAAACAAAGTTGTTCCAAAAACATAAATTTTTGATGAGAAGGACTAAAAATGTAAATTTATTAAAACTTGGGCCAAAAAGATAAATTTATTTATAAATGGGCCGAGAATGCACTTTTTCATAAAATTAAGCAAAAAATGGTATTTTTGACAAAAGTGAGTTAAAAATGTTATTTTTACTTAAAACTAGCCTTAAATGCAAATTTTTGGCCTTAAAGGACCTAAAGTGTCATTTTTATCAAAAATGTGCCTTAACTGTAAATTTTCGGTTATAGGATAAAAAATGTCTTCTTACAAAAAGTGGTCATTTTTATGTCATTTTGGTAAACTACGAAGCTTTAACAACCCACGGATCAATTACTTCATTTATATGCTTATTGGGCTTGGAATATAATTTACATGCTTAGTGAGTCTTAGTTGTCCACTTACATGTTTATTGGGCATGGAATACACCTGATATGCTTACTGAGCCTGAAATATAATTTACATGCTTAGTGGGCCTTAGTTGTCCGCTTACATGTTTATTGGGCCTGGAATATACCTTTCATGTTTATTCACGTAAATTCGATTAATGATCTAGTGAGACGTTTCGTTTGGCACCAAATGAGTGTACAAACATAGCATGTAGTTATAAACAGAGTCTCCCGAAAAGAGAGCAAGAGTTTGTGTATAGATCTATACGGGGGTGACACCTCACACCCGAGCTGTTCGCTATAGTTAGACTAGACCAGTCTAGGGTGACAAGCCTAGTCTAGGGTGACAAACCTTACCTTAAACAAGTCGGCATCTGACAGACATCATCACAGGCGAAATTGTTATTATCAAGTATGGTTATAACGACTCACTTAGAGGAATTAATACCATTATAAATTTTACGGGAAACAATCTTTTGTGGATAACACGGTAACTTGCACGCCGATACTCAATCTCGGGTGTTGAGATTACAACGTTTTCATAAACAGACAACATCGTGTTGTCTGGGTCATTCTCTTTATATTCTCATAAACGTTAACAAACGTTCATTAATACAAGATCGGACACAAACATTTCAAACCATTTTTCGGAAAATATCGGATTTTCTAGCAGTTACAAATTTTTTTACTCAAACATGCTTATGAACTCACCAACATTATATATGTTGACCTTTTTAAATTAACTTGTATTCTTAGGAAATCATTGAGCAGGTTGGTCAGCAAGAATACCTGGATATTTTGTTGTGTTTTGCTTTCATCATACTTTGGATATTTTGGCATATAATATTGAAATACAATACTTGATGTAAACAATGACGGTTGTAAATATTACATGTGTGATGATGATGATGTTTGTTTCAATTATATACACTGTGATGATACTAGAAAAATGAAGTCACACAAGTCCGCAGACGTTTCCACCGTCTGGTTTGGGGGTGTGGCACTCTCCCCGGCCGATGGCGGAAAATGCTGAGTGCTGATGGTGTGACAACCGGCAAGCTTCTGGTCAAGTCAAAGTCAAGTCGAGGTCAACAAGTCAACCTGGTCAACTCAACTAGTGTGTATATGTTAGGGATTACTTTATGTTTACTAATGTGTAACTATAAATGCTAATGCAAAGTAACACTTGAAAGTCCCAAATGTTCAAAATTTAAAACCCTAATCTAATTTAGGGAAGTAACAGCTCTATAAAGTACTATTAAGTACCCTTCGGGGGTGTATAACACTCAAAATGGGATGTAACTAAGTCTAAAGTCCTTGCTCTATGAAGAAAAACATTAATAAAGGCTCCTGATAAAGTCTCTCTCAATCTCTCCCACTGTATCTCACTCTCTCCCAAATCTCTCCAAGTATGTAAAATCTCTCCCAAATCTCTCCAAGTATGTAAAATCTCTCCCAAATCTCTCAAAGTAGGTGAAATCTCTCCCAAATCTTTCCAAGTATGTCAAATCTCTCTGAAATCTCCCTATGTAACCTTTTCTTAGTCAAACTTCAGCTTATAATGATAGGAGTAAAACCTGAAAGAACAAGCCAGGAGAAACTCTTTAATCAGCTTCAGAACCCCCCCCCCCCCCCTCTTCGGAAATTTGAGAATGACTCCGGATTTAGGGTGCTCTGGAATAACCTTGCTTCAGAATTCTTTCTCTGCTCCGGAATAAGCCTCATATCTCAGGACTCCCTTGTTTCGGACAAACTCGCATGCCCCGAAAGGATTGGATCCGGAAAATATCGCTTATGACTGCTTCGGATTCTCCAGTCGGCTTCCTGCCTCCGGTCCGGACTGCTGGCTTCGCTCCTGATCTCGCGCTTGACTTTGGAAATCCGAGAAAGTGCTCTGGAATTTGGTGTTGACTCCGGAACCTTGTAAGCTGACTCTGGAATAATGAACCCGACTCCGGACCTCTCATGTTGACTTCATAATTCATAAAGGGACTTCGGAACTCGCTTCTACACTCTAGATTTTTGTCATTTTCGGACTTTTTCTTCATTTTAGGACATTTTGACGTCGTGAATTCCTCCAAACTCGTATTTTTCATATCCTAAACCCCTTAAACCCGTATTTTATGCCAAATTTTATTTTAAACATATTTATATAAAAAAATACCCAAGATTTTTTAAAGATATTTTAAGAAGATAAAGGGTTTTGACTTTATAATGTGATCTAAATCCTTCATTTCCCATGCAAATCTCAGTAAACACACAGTACCCATAGAAAATAAGCTTTACCCACTAACTCTCCATGCAAATGTCAAGTCACCCCTTATCCTCCCATTTAGATACGTGAACCCTTCCCCCCCCCCCCCCCGAGCATGAAATTTCAACATCTCTGGAAGTATAAAATAATATTTGAATCACCTCATAAAAGATTACTTGTTTTCATAAGAGCCTCCTAAATTTTTGGGTATGTACAACATGCCCCCTTTA